TTAATTATATATATATTATGTTGTGTGTTGTGTTGTGTTAGTTAGTTAGTTAGTTAGTTAGTTTAGTTTATTTATTATATATATATATATATATACTATACTATACTATATATATATATATATATATATATATATATTATACTTTTAAGAATGTATGCATGTATACATGTAAGTTTATATGCAGATGTTATTGTGTATATACGTACATAATTATAAATATTCTTATTTCGGCACTTGCAACACGTAACGTATGACACCGTATCACTTGTACCACAACAGTCCTGAAACGGGGCAATTTGCAAGTCCAAAAGCACAACAAAGAGGGCAAGGGTACCAAAATCGACAAGGACGTGGACTATAGTGAGGCTGAGCTTTCAGGTTTAGGCGTGGTTCTAAAACTCACCAGCCGACAGCTGATAGTCAAGTACAGCAATAATCAAACGGTAGGTGAACCTAGTTCTACAATACTAGCAAACCACATGGTATGGTGAATCTACATCAAAAAGCACATGGTAAGGTAATTCTGTAGCAATCTATATATGATAAAGCAGCTCTATTTGTGTAATTCCAGCACAGATAAAATACATGGTATATGACTTATACGCTTGGGCACGTATTCCTCGATGGATACAGTTATGAGCCGCTTCAATGACGTCTCTAGGATGTCGGGGTCTAAACCCGTAAACCCGTAAACCCGTAAAACGTATTACCTGGACCCACAAGCGAATGTTAGCCAGTGTGTGACGAGCCATTTATGACCGATCCCCTCGGCTATGAATCTGGTCAATGATGACCTGTGACTGAACGAGTTGTACTTCACTTACGAGCGTGTGGCGGGCGCATATAACTGTGTCTTTGCATTCGTATATATATCACGCATACGTATATGGATTACAAATTTCTATTCAATTCTGAACCCCGAGGAAACCACTCGATACTATATCCGTAGTGTGTATCAATCCCAGGTTTTGCCCTAATTATTCCCCCCGAAAATCACCCCATTAATACTCCAAACCCGATTTATTTTTTTGGATGGAAAATGTATCAGGTGGTCTGTGATCTCAAAGACTTACAGATTGTGTCGTCCAAGCGCTTCTGGAAAGACAATTTTCTCAACCTGCAGACAAAAGACGATGGCAAACTGAAGGTGCGGAGTTTCCAACAGCTGATGAAGTGAATTTTGTCGTAAACGTTTGGTGTATGTCGTAAATCATGCATTCAGCAGCCAACAGATAGCGGTCAGCTGAGGCTGCGGTGTTTGCAACAGCTGAAGTGTGTCAAATATATTTGTAATATGTCCTAAAATGTAGAAGTGACAGATAATTATCGGTAGAATGACAGCTGCCCTGACACGCTGAAGTGTAACCGCTGGTGCAGTATGTCGTGAACCCTTTTGAAGTTTGTCGTGAACCCTTTTGAAGTTTGTCGTAAACCCCTGAGATATGTCGTTTATGTGATCGTCATGTGTAGTCATGGATGTGTGCACTTGTAATGTTATAAGTAAGAGAAGTAGGCTGACTGAAAGTATAGCGAAAGTATTTGAGATTGGTTGTGAACAAGCATCGCGCGGAGAGTATGTAGGAACTTTTGCCCCCCCCCCCCCCCCAACTACCAAACGTACTCCCTTAATCTGCAAACACGGAGTTGTGTGAATCTCGGTGCCCATACATCACATGTTGTATAGTGCCGCATATTGCATTCCAGCCGTGTCGCTTATTCCGAGTTTTGTATTAAATTCGTGTCGGAAACCACAGCTCAAGACAGACAACAAGGTGGTGAGAGACGAATGGTACGACGCAATTCTCAAGGCACAGAACGATCTCTCAGCCAATATAACCGCTCGCACGGGCACCATACGCCGCATACTCAACAAAGCCCAGAACAGGGACACTGAGGCTGATGAGGAGGCTGCTGCGAGTATGTGGTTGGGTATAGATATACATGCCTATACTCGGCTATTATGTGTTTATATTTAACTGATACATATATATATATATATATGTATATATACTGAACTGGTACGTACCTGTACTCAAGTAATGCATACCTGTATGTAACTTATACGTATCTGAATTCAACTAATGCATACCTATACTCAACTAATACATACTTATACTCAACTAATACATACTTATACTCAACTAATGCATACTTATACTCAACTAATACATACTTATACTCAACTAATACATACTTATACTCAACTAATATATACCCATATTCAGCTAGTACATACTTATACTCAACTAGTGCATACCTATACTCAACTAATACAGACTTGTGCTCAACTATTACATACATACATACCCAACTAACGCACACTTATACTCAACTAATACATACCTGTACTCAACTAATACATACCTATACTCGACTAATACATACCTATACTCGACTAATACACACCTATACTCAACGACCTATATTTCTTCATACTCGTATACATACAATCACTTATATCAGTACACTTACGTGCACGTGCAGATGCGGAAGAGGAGAAGCAGAACATGAACCGCAAGAAGAGTATGGCTGCACTGGTGGGCCTATCCAATAGTATTGCCGTGGGCTTTGGTACCGAAGATCTCGATGCCAACGCTGCTGAACGCGAACAGGTACGACGCAGACGCACCTGTGTGTAGGTATAGTACGACGAGATATATACAGTACACGTGCACGTGCACACAGTTAAGGGGGCATGAACATGTGTGCGGGAGAGCACTGTACAGGGTGTGTGTGTGTGTGTGTTGTGTAGTATGTGTATGTATTATAGTGTGTGTGTGTGTGTATGTTATGGGGTTGTGTACGTGTATGTGTATTGTAATATGTTAGTGTGTGTTCTACATTCTGGCCCATGCACTATCCTGTGTTTGTCCGTACTGCGTTCGCATGTCCTTCCACGGTGTGCGTGTACATATATATTTGTATTCATTTATATATGTATATATATATATATATATCTATATGTATATATATATATATATATATGTATCTATATCTATATCTATTTATATATATGTATATGTATATTTATTTGTATATATAAATATATGTATATATATATTCCGGTGCTACCTGGCAAAAGGCTCTCGCCAGGTGCTGGGGTGAGTTGATTACTTATATCCTTAACCTTATAAGTAACGCACGGCTTAAAAACTACCAATCATAACTAGATTTTTATCGTTGTAGTCTATCACGAGCACATTCGCTTGCAACTGCGTTGACGCGCAATCCCAATAGACAATTAACCAAGATTTTTTTTGTTTCTATTTTTATCTCTTCTAGCTTGAGGCGCGTCGGACCAAACACCGCCGAGTGCTGTTGAGAGACTTCTACGTGGAGAAGCACAAACCCACAAAGGGTGACATTCTGTATGTTCTATTTATAGCCTTGCCTGTTGTATTTATAGCCCTCTGTCCCGGTCTAAAGTGCAGTGTGTGGATTAGTGACCCCACCGAAAGGGGGGCGACCTGTATTTTCAATTTATAGCCTTGCCTGTTCTATTAATAGTCCTGTGACCTGGTTCAGACTACAAAATGCAGTATGTGGACTAGTGATGTATATGTCTATGTAGGCTATAGCGCTCCGTCCACACCAGTGGGTGGTGTAAGTGTATGGTGTGCCTCTGGGCCTCGAAAAGTACTGGCACTATCACGAGGAGTGCGTGAAACCTATCGAATGCACCTATATATAAGGTCAGGACTAGTGTGGGTGCACGCATGCATGCTACTGTTGAAGCTACGTCAGATGATACCACACGGCCCGTGATGGAATGGTAGTTCCCTTGACAACAATACGCACGCGACTAATCACTATACGTGAATGCGGATATAGCCCACACTGCAAGTGTTTAGTCTTTGTTCGTCGCAGACGTACCCTGCATTTGAATAGGATGCTTGTCTATATGTATGCATGCATGTATGTATGTATTTATGTGTGTATGTATGTATGTATGTATGCATATATATACATAAATATATATATATATATATATATGTATATATATATATATATATATATATATATATATATATATATATATATATGTATATATATATATATATATATATATATATATGTATATATATATATATATATATATATATATATATATGTATGTATGTATGTTTATATGTATACTGCCTTCTACATGTGATTGCTTACATAGCTCACACTGAAGTGTTCTACCCTTCTTATCCATCGGCAGACCAACTCTGAAGATCTTTGCCGAGAACGACTGCATTGTGTTGCGCAGTCCTAGCGAAGCAATTTGTGATGTAAGTGATTAACCCTAAACCCTAAAGTGCTAGAGATTGTGATGCACGTGTGGGAGTGTGATTGTATAGTGGTGTATGTTACACGTACCTGCTATACGTGTTATGAGTATGAATGGACACTCTGCTCCAGTGTATCTCAACCCAAAGTATGACATTCTTCGCACTTAATCAGTGGTGTGATCCTGTGTTATAGGTCTAATACGCAACACAAGGTGGGGTTTTAGAGTTTAGGGTTTTTAGCAGATCGCAAATAGTTATGCTAGATCGAAATGTCGACTGTGTCAATGTTTCTGTATATACGCAGTCGTAGCATCACCCGTTTATTGGATGGAAGACTAGGCGTGTGTGTTCAGGTGTGTAGCGACGCCATCTCTTGTGTCGTGCACGCACTATGGACAATTAAACAGGAACAATTGTAGATACGAAGCAACAGCACCTCTTGCGAAGGTAAAAAGCAGACAGCAACACGTGTGAAGAAACAAAAGTACACCAAACCTTTTACCACAATGTGGACAATTATACAGGAACAATTTTTCAATTTTAAGCAACAGCAGGAAATTGTGTCGTGATATATCGACTGCGCCTGTTTTGCGCAATGTGGACCATTTAACCGGACGGTGTGTAAAAGTGTATCTTTGTCGCACCCCTTGCTACATTGTGGACAGTCAGGACACGGCCATACCCCACCATAGACAATTTAACCGAAGCAGTCACTTACCCAATGTACCTCTTGCGCGGGTGTGGACAATTAAACAGGAATGGCTTGAGATTTTGTCGACCATGGCTGTAGCCACCAGGGAGTATCGCCTGTCCCTGTGCACCGAATCTCAGACTCAGCTGGCTTTGCAGCAGTGGCAGGTAAGACTGACTCAGAGTTTAGGGTTTTGGGTTTGACTATGGTGACCCGCTTTATTTCGGGCAAGAAACAGCGAAGATTTTAATGACGATCAAATGGATTGTTAAGCGTTAGGTGAAACTTCTTGTATGTCTCTGAACCTCTTGAACAGCGAAGGTGTTAATGACGATCAAATGGATTGTTAAGTGTTAGGTGAAACTCCTTGTATGTCTTTGAACCTCTTGAACAGCGAAGGTTTTAATGACGATCAAATGGATTGTTTGAGTGGTAGGTGAAACTCCTTGTATGTCTCTGAACCTCTTGAACAGCGAAGGTGTTAATGACGATTAAATGGATTGTTAAGTGTTAGGTGAAACTCCTTGTATGTCTTTGAACCTTTTGAACAGCGAAGGTTTTAATGACGATCAAATGGATTGTAAAGTGTTAGGTGAAACTCCTTGTATGTCTTTGAACCTCTTGAACAGCGAAGGTGTTAATGACGATTAAATGAGTTGTTAAGTGTTAGGTGAAACTCCTTGTATGTCTTTGAACCTTTTGAACAGCGAAGGTTTTAATGACGATCAAATGGATTGTTTGAATGGTAGGTGAAACTCCTTGTATGTCTTTGAACCTCTTGAACAGCGAAGGTGTTAATGACGATCAAATGGATTGTTAAGTGTTAGGTGAAACTCCTTGTATGTCTTTGAACCTCTTGAACAGCGAAGGTTTTAACGACGATCAACCGGATTGTTTACGTGTTAGATGAAACTCCTTGTATGTCTTTGAACCTTTTGAACAGCGAAGGTTTTAATGACGATCAATTGGATTGTTTACGTGTTAGATGGAACTCCTTGTATGTTTTCGAAGCTCTTGGTGTGCTATGGGGGTGTGAGTCACACAGTTGAAGTTAGTGCTAGATGTTGAACCACCAGAGATCGCATCCGTTCTACTGTGCTTTCATGTTTCTTGGATTGTTTGCTCGCATTTTAATTGTAGATGTCAGAGGTAAGGTTGACAGCTAGAGATATGTATGTTCGTTATGTCAATGTCTATATTATTTCAGATATAGCTTCACTTCAAGTACCTTTTAATCCATTCAATACTGTTAATGTCTAGCTCATCAGCAATAGTGCTTAATCAATTCGCTAGTGTACTTATTATCGAATCATGTATAGCTATATAATCAATAATACATACTACCCAGATTGAATACCTAAATGATTTAGCTCTTCAGGTATCTTCAAGCCATTCATCTCTGCCGTTTCTCTACCACAGGCGAAATTAGCCAATGCGGACGACGGGACCGACACGCGCCGTAAGTTGTACGACTATATTGTCACACAGGCGATGTATTTGTGTCCGATTGTTCTAACAATAGATCTGTCCTATCGCCAATAGCCAGACGGTCTACAACAGGGGTGTTGTTGCGTGTATTTGTATGTCCCGAGTGCAGCTCTCTCGGCCGTTGCATGTGTTCATAGTGAGGCGTGTTTATTAGTGCATGCAGTCCCAAGCTAAAACGTTGTTCTGGCACATACATGCCTTTGGCATCTGTGCGATGCTTAGTGTTATACTGATACCGGTATGCGACCGTTATACTCACCCCTCGGGTGTTGTACTGTTTTATAACTCATTACGTTGACCTCGTGGAGAGGAATTTGCATATCCGCATGAAGCCCCCAACCGATCCCTGTTGGTCTCTTGCGAGTGATTTATTTTCCGTGCCTCACAGTAGCAATCGGACGGAGCTATATATGGTGTAGAAGACGCTCTAAGATGGGTATATAATGTGTGTATGTAGGTATGTAGCTATTTGTGTATAGGTATATATATATATACATGTCTGTGTGTGTGTGTGTGTGCATATCCCTTTAAATATATCAATGTATGTCTCGATTGCAACCCCCTCCTCCCCAGGCTTCCTTGAACTCCACGTGGAGATGCTTGGGGTTCTGCTTAAAAGAAGGCAGGATCACGGCAAATGCCCTACACATATGATCGCCGACGCCCACGCCAAATTGGACTACGACGTAGCGAGCAGCAGAGTCATGAATTTCCTGCACGAGGGTGAGTTGTGGGGGTGTGGCTTTATGGTGTGTTGAGTTAAATGCGTGTGTCATGTAGTACTATGTGAATGATATAACGTTTTGCTTTGCCTCTGGTGTGAGTCGTGTGCGAGTCTACTGCGGTTGCGCACGTGTGTCAATCGCTTGGATTGCAATGAAGGGATCATTTAGGTCATGGGATCGCAAAGCGTATACACACCCCCAGCTATCGTTCCCAATCGCAAATGAGTACGTATATCAAATACGTATCAACAGCTGTCTGGTCAGGCTTATCGAATCATTTTGGTATCCATGAGACACGTTGGCTGTTGGTATAGGTCAAAGTTCAAACTCACAATCATATACTTCTACGTATTCTATAAATGTACACTTTCCCGTCGAGTACGGGAATGTGACTGTTTTACCGGTTCTCCGCGTTCTTCGGCACCAGCGAAACACAGAAATATATACTAATACGTATTCTATAAATGTACACACAGCTTTCCTGTCAAGTACAGGAATGTGGCTGTTCATCCGCTTCTCCTCGTACTTTGGCATCCGCGAGACTCAGCGACGGTTTGTGGTGGTTGAGTTTTTGACTCAGAAAATGTACGACGAAGCTATGAGCGATGCGCTCAGGACTAACCTGTACCATGACTTGCTCGTCAAGATGCTTACGGTGGGTCGATCAATGTATATGTGCAGATTGTGTGTGTGTGTATATTTGTGTGCGTAGTTCTTGTATCTGTATGTCTGCGTGTTTATAGGTGTATGTAGCGTGCAGGTATATATTAAGATATATATATATATATCAATTTATCTATAGAAGAGTCTGTGTCATCTCATTGAAAATCTGATACTCTTGAATCCTCCAGGCAGCTCACTTTACGTTTCTGTACCTCTGCACAGATCATCGATGCCGAATCACAGTCGCATCTCCACAGCGACCAGATCGGTGAGATTTACGACAAAAGGTATGACGAGCACTATACTCTATCGACAATGGCTTGATGTTTGATTTAATACGTGTTTGTGTTGCTTAATCTATTACGTGTTGTTGAATTCAGTACTTGATGTTCAAATCTAGTACTTGTTGTTCGATCTATTACGTGTTGCTTAATTCAATACTTCACACCGTCGCGTGCGCACAGGGTTATCTCACTCTGCCAGTCATACCAACCCACCCATCACAGCGGTATGACGGCCACAACCCGAGAGAAAGAACGGTTTGCGGAAACTATGGCACGCATTGAATCACTCAACCGTAGCCACTTGGCGAAGTACAAGGACTGGTTCCCTTACGCTAAGGGTGGTCTCACACAGACACTCCAGATGCTCAAGCTGGTGGAGTCTGTCCGGTGGAACACGGGTGTGGGACTGGAGGACATGAGCACGGTAGGTAGATTATATTTTTAGAACTGACGTTAAGTATGCAATGTTTATATATCGATGTATACAGTTAATATATCATAGAAATATGTCGTGTTCATATGATTTGTATATAAATAGTTAAGTAGTATTTTACAGGCCAATGTGTATGAAAAGTATGTCATGTTCATGAAATCTATATAACTAAGGTAATGTCCATATATCAATATGTATATATACATAGTTAAAGTGTTCATATATCAATGTATATAAATAAGTATGTAATGGTCATAATAAAATTGAGATACGCGATATCCTTCAGTTTGTACTTTCATAGTATAAGATAAAACGTATACGCAGTATATGATAAAAACGTATGTGGAGTATATATGATAATGACGTATATGTAGTGTATGTGATAAAGACGTATATGTAGTATGTGCAAAATAGTGTAAATTCAAGTTATCTGTGCATTTAGATGTATATCCCGAGGTAGAGTGATACGAATATTTTTTATCACCTTCATCGCGTACTTTCGATAAGAAACGTATCTTGGTATACTGAACATGCCCATGTTGGTTTTCAGTAATGGTGTGTTCGTCTTCATCTGTGTTCAACAATGGATTGCTTATTCTGTATGTTCTTCTTCTTAGGTTCGTGCCGAACCATCCATCGACGCGCGGCTCAATCGGCGTCTGCGCAAATTGCTTACGGTATGTGCCTTAAGTCCTTATTGGTAGATATGTGTCTTGAATCTGTATCTATAGGTATATATCTGAAGACTTTATCGGTAGATATGTGTCCTGAATCTGTATATGTAGGTATGTGTCTTATATCTGTATCGGTAGGTATGCGTATTCTGGCGTGAAGTTCTTAACTAGAATATGTATCAGTATAAACTTTGGCCAAATCGTATGTCCTTCAACGGTATCTTTTGTATGGAAATTAGATATAAATTCAACCACCATATCTTCGCGGCAGAATTAAACCTGGTTTTTCCCAAATGATCATCGACACTTTTTAGCCACAACATATCTATATTGCCGCTGGTGCTACTATTCTTCCGCCGCCTTTTCGTCACAATTTATCCATATTTGGGTTGGTTTTACCTACCTAAATGTCCGCCATCCCATTGTCTGCCCACAGAAAGGCGTGGAGGACCGTGTAGGGCGTCACGAGAGTGTGCAATTCGCCGAAAACGACGAGAACTTCATTCACACACCCGGCATGACTGGTATGTACCATGAGTATGTATACGCGCATGCCTCCTCTCATACTTATGATTGATAGGTATAGAATTCTAGAAAGTTGTTCTACTATTTACTCAGGTACGGAAAGCATCGTTTTTATTATTAATATATATATTATAAATNTATATACATATT